ATCATACGAACTTAGTCGAATCCTCAATTCACCTCAAACAACGCTAAAACCATGAATTACACCCCAATTCAAGCCTAATGAACTTTGAAATTTCTAATTTCTACAAACAACTTCGGAACCTATCAAATCACGTCCGATTGACCTCAAATTTTGCACACAAGTTCTAAATGACATAACAGAAGTATTTCAATTTTTAGAATCGGATTCCGACCCCGATATCAAAAAGCCAACCCCCGGTCAAACTTCTCAAAAATAAAACTTTCAGCATTTCAAGCCTAATTCCTCTACGGACTTCCAAAAAATATTCCGGACACGCACCTAAGCCCAGAATCACCATACGGAGCTATTGGAATCATCAAAATTTAAATCCGAGGTTGTTTACACATAGGTCCATATCCGGTCCACTTTTCTAACTTAAAATTTTCAATTATGAGACTAAGTATCTCATTTCACTCCGAGTTCCTTCCGAACTCGAACCAACTAACCCGATATAACATAATATAGCTTAATAAAACAAAAAGAAGTAGAAATATGGAAAATGGGGTTATAACTCTCGAAACGACCGACCGGATCGTTACATCCTCCCCCTCTTAAACATACGTTCGTCCTCGAATGTGCCCAGAGTTGTTCCAAAAGCCATCAAATCGCTGTGTAGCTTTCACATGCACATACCCCGGGGTGATCCCACGTCACCCTATCCCATACATGTCCAATAGCACAGCATGTTTGAAATTTCTCAATTCAACCTAGCCCACAAGCCTTCAAATCAAATTTCCAATATCCGAAATTTCTTATAAGATGAGAAGTTTGCACTTACATACCGTATAAGTCTGAACAATCTGTACCAAAAGTTGTAACCATAACTCAAATACTCAAATTCAAATACCGCATAGCTCGAATGCTCGAAGCAATGATTTCAAATCACAGTATCGACTCAAATCAATCCAGTGCCAGCAATAAACCTCATATCAACCAAACCCTCGTTCTAAAACCTCCGTACAATGCCGATGATGAAAGAAACATACCGAATTCATAACCATTCATTAGACTATCAGGCCATGGAGCTCTCGTTCCTTCTATAAGAACTATAGCCAATTTCAAAGCTGACTTCCGATATTATCCTCCTAATTATACCACGATCAAATCTGATAGCATCCATTCTAGGCTCAATGACCTCGTCTCCTCCAACACGACCACTCTAGTGACATGACAGATCAATACAATTTTAAAGCCACAACCCGTGCACCAGATAGCAACATTCCAAATGTACCCAATCGTAATAATGACCCAAATAGGAGAACCGTTCCGCAAGCTCGACGAGTACCACCCCGACGCAATGTTAAGAACCCATCACATACTGCAGATCCATAACATATGAATCTTACACAAGGGATCATATTTCCACATAACTCTGCTGCAATACGCGATCCTATCCAAATACTGGTCCATATGAAACACCTCAAGTCACCCTGCTAAAAATCAATAACCATGCGCAATTTGACATCAAGTACCCAACGTGCATTACCATAACCACAGAGAAGCAAACGACACCATGCCACATAAAACCCGAAAGAACACAACCAATACGTCATCAACTAAGCAATATCCAATACTATTCTCACTCAAATTCCGCCATAAGGCCACAATAG